GACATGGAAAGAGGTTTTTATTTATAGAAAATTTGCTTTAAATGATAGGATAACTTATCCTTCCATGTCCTGGATAACTCCACCTTTTCCTGCTTATCTGTCTCTTAACGTATCATTCCCGTCCACTTTACCAATGACAATAGCTTTGATGCTCTGTTTGTCCACTTGTCCTGTAAGTGCATTCAAGCCATACTGTCTCAGGCTGAAGACTAGGAATGTGTGGAATGCCTACAGGAAGCTTGCCAATTAGATCTTCTATTCATTCATTTGATTTATTTTGCTAATTAAAAAAGCTAGCTTTGTGTAAGTTCACTGATATTCCCCAGTCTTTCCTCTTCTTCCTTACTGTTTGGTTGCTGTCATAGCACCTTGTCTGTAAGCTCACTGGAGTAGGGGGAAAATGTCTTCTCTGTACTGGCAGGTGCCTAGCATGCTTTTGGGTGCTGTTAAAATTAGTGTTTCTTTATCTGATGTAAACGTGGCTTGGCTGTTTTCAGCAGCTTTCAAGATTCTGGTCATTCATCCATGATTTGCTCCAATGGATGGGTAAACATATCATTAACTTTTCCTTATTATGGCAAGAGGGAATAGATTTTGTGCTTGGACTGAAAGATTGTCTTGACAATTTTGCTTTACCAGTTTCCCAGCATTAGGCCTGATTTGTTGGGGGCAGGAGACAATAACTTCACGCCTTTTGTGGGCACTACATATCACTTTCATTTAGTTATCGAGTGTTAATACATACATACTATAGTATAGCACAGGAACAAATCTACTCGGACACACCCCCAGAACCCCAACCAGGGGTATTCTATCTGCTACCCAAGATCCATCAACCTGGAACCCTGGATGCCCCATCATGTCAGGCATTGGCACTCTTACAGTAGGATTGTCTGGCTATTTGGACTCTCTCCTCAGACCCTACGCTACCAGCACTCCCAGCTATCTTCGAGCCACCACGGGCTTCCTGAGGAAACTACAATGCATTGATGATCTTCCTGAAAACACCATCCTGGCCACCATGGATGTAGGAGCTCTTTACACCAATATTCCACGAGGATGGACTACAAGCTGTCAAGGACAGTATCCTTGATGAGGCCATGGCACACCTGGTGGCTGAGCTTTGTGACTTTGTCCTCACCCACAACCATTTCAGATTTGGGGACAACTTATACCTTCAAATCAGTGGCACTGCTATGGTTACTCGCATGGCCCCACAGTATGGCAACATTTTTATGTCTGACTTAGAACAACGCTTCCTTAGCTCCCGTCCCTTAGCTCCCGTCCCCTAGCGCCCCCCCTCTACTTGCACTACATTGATGACATCATCATATGGACGCACAGGAAGGAGGCCCTTGAAAAATTCCATCTGGATTTCAACAATTTCCACCCTACCATCAACCTCAGCCTGGACCAGTCCACACAAGAGATCCACTTCCTGGACACTACAGTGCAAATAAGCGATGGTCACAAACACCACCCTATACCGGAAACTTACTGACCGCTACACTTACTTACATGCCTCCAGCTTCCATCCAGGATACATCACATGATCCATTGTCTACAGCCAAGCCCTAAGATACAACCGAATTTGCTCCAATTCCTCAGACAAACACCTACAAGATCTTTATCAAGCATTCTTAAAGCTACAGTACCCACCTGGGGAAGTGAGGAAAGATTGACAGAGCAAGACGGATACCCAGAAGTCACCTACTACAGGACAGGCCCAACAAGGAAAATAACAGAACACCACTGGCCATCACATACAGCCCCCAGCTAAAACCTCTCCAGCACATCAATGATCTACAACCTATCCTAGAAAATGATCCCTCACTCTCACAGACCTTGGGAGGCAGGTTAGTCCTCGCTTACAGACAGCCCCCCAACCTGAAGCAAGTACTCACCAGCAACTACACACCACTCCACAGAAACACTAACCCAGGAACCAAGCCCTGTAACAAACCTCGTTGCCTACTCTGTCCCCATATCTACTCTAGCGACACCATCAGAGGACCCAACCACATCGGCCACACCATCAGGGACTCATTCACCTGCACATCTACTGTGATATATGCCATCATGTGCCAGCAATGTACATTGGCCAAACTGGACAGTCTCCAAGGTCATTCAGCTCCCCTGCTTTCCAGTCTTGTCTGTCTCATGTCTTCACTGGATTAGACAAGCAACAGGGAACCTCAGGCTGGAAAAACACTGCTTTAGTTATTTCTTAGCACTAAGATAATTCCTGCATTATTAATAGTATCAGCAACAACAGTTGCACATTTATCCTTTAACTTTGAGCCTTACTTTTCCTCTTAACTCAATTGGTTCTATACAGCTTTGGCTAAATTAAACTTGTGTCTCTTCCTGTTTTAGTCTTGAAAGGTTTGTTCCTGTTCTTATAGTACCTTTCTTTCCCATCTGTCTCCCTTTTAAACTGCAAGTATTCACTAGTTTCACCTGTGGAAACCTACACCACACAGACGCCACTCATTTTCACATCAATTTGTAAATGAGAAAAGTTGAAGCCATTTGCTGATCAGGGCCCTCCTTGACCTGCCCCCAAATAAATATTTTAAAACATTCTGCTAAAATCACTTTGAAAAGGCTGCAAGGAGATTACTGTGCAACAAAACCTACTAAACTTAGTAACTTTGTTTCCTGAAAAAAAATGACTTCCTGATTTAATATAGTGAGTGTCATATATTGTGTGTTTGTAGGACTCAAGTTTAGTGTCTGCCATTACAAAATTAAGATGTTTGGATTTGGGGTTGTAGTTTAAATCCATCTCTACTTTAAAAACAGAATTCTGTAAAAGGAGGAAAGATGGTCTTTTAGCTAAAACACAGGACCAGAAGGCAAGAAGTCTAGGTTCTTATTCCTGACTCCTCCAGAGACATCCCGTGTAGCTTTCAGTAAATCATTTAACTTTTCTATGCTGTGCTGTAAAGTAGACATTACAGCAACTGAAGGTGGTGGCTAGGCCGACAGAAGAATTCTGCCAGTGTCTACACCAGGGGTTAGATCAGCTTAATTACATCGCATAGGACATAAGTTTTTTCACACCTTGAGCAGTGTAGTTAAGCCAACTTGACTTAAGAGTGTAGACCAGCCCCTAGTGTTGTTTGAAAAAGGATAGGAGGGAGGAATTGGAAGTGGTAAGGCTGGGGAACTAGGAGTCCAACATTGACACGTGCTGACACTTTGGGGAGGAGGCTGTATGACAGGGTGCAGTAGGAGAGGTGATGTCAGATGGGAGGAGCCAGGTTTTAGGGAATGCAAGAAGAGATGATAAATATCGGTAAGTTTTGTAGATGGAGCAGGAATTCCAGAAGCAGCCAGGGAAGGAAGGAGGCAGGAACAGAGGAATAAGCACAATCAGATTGATTAAAACAGAGCCAGTGGGACAGTGGTGGTGGCAGGGAATGATTCAGAGGGATGACAACCAGTGTTAGGGCAGAGACTGCCAGAGGTGAGAAGAAGAGTCAGAAGAGGCTGCAGAAGTTATACGTAGATTTAAGAGGGTGAGGGTGTGGGGAAGAAGAGCTGCAAAGGAGAGGTGGGTTCAAGGAATGCGAGATGATGCTTTTGGGAGGAGGGGTAGGGAAGGAAGAGGGGAGGAAAATTTGATGGAACAGGTGAGGAATGTGGTGAGCACTTTGGGAGAGGCTGTGTGGAAGTGGTGCGAGGAAGGCTAATAAGCAGTTACAGTAGAATGATGCCCCAATACACACACACAGGATAGATTCTCATTTGTAAGAAGACTCACATGTTGCTCTTAACATTCAGATGAATATCTGCCAAATTATGAGCTATCTGTGCATAAGTTATGCCTAATATTTGTTACCTAAGCTCTTAAGCATTTAATTTGATGATTCAAGCAAATATTGGAAATTCTGTGCAGTATAAAGCATAAAGAATATGGTTTTTATTTAAATTGTACCTTAGTGATTTCCTCAGGTCATCTTTGATAATCAGAATTTGGGTGGTGTAACTCATTAATTATCAAATATTCCCTTGCCTCCACATGAAGACCAAAATAAAGAAAACAACAGTTTATATCTGTGTTTAAAGTTTGATTCTGATCCCATATATATTAGTTTCAAACTGGTGTAACTCATTTGAAGTGAGTGGCATTACACCAATGTAAAAAACAATGTATGCCAGATCAGAATCTAGTCAGTGTTCTTTTCGAAACTATCATACACATTTATAATGCATTACAAGTAGGAATATTAACAACTGATTCCTTTTAGTTGGTGGTGGCTGAACATGAAATGATGTCATTACAATACTGCCATAATCTGATCTTTATTTTGGGAAATATAAAAGAAATCTTTGTGCAACTTTTAGGATGTATTTTCTGGAAAGTTTGCAATAGTGGAATGAAACAGCAAGGCATTTAGTCCACTGAATGGGATAAACTCGGTTCTCAATTACACGGCGGCAAACTGGAAGTAATTTCATTGAAATAAGTGAATTTATTTCAGTTACACCAGTGTAAGCTTGAGAACAGAAGTCAGGCCCATGTTATGAAGGTCTGAACATGACAAAAGCTTAGAAGGAAGTCACCCTATTTAACATTAATTTGAATGCTGTGGGCCTGATTTTCAGTTGTGATCAGCATAGCCTGGGAAAGGGGAAGAATGGTGGCTGTGGCCCCTGGATTCTGAGGCCAGCTAGGGAGGGACCAGTCTAGTCCTCAGCAAGGGTGCTCTAATTTACGCATGGCTATTCCAGCAACTGGAGAGCACTGGTATTCTTGCTGCATCCCTACACTGGAAGCAGAAGCATTCTGTAGAGACACACTATGCCAGCTATCCACCACCAATCAAGTTCCTTTTATGAAAGGGGAATTACCAGGTAGCTAGTAAAGTTTGCTTTCTGCCTGCCTTGTAACACCTGGACTCTATATGCATGCAGGCTTCTGCCCATGCCAAACTCGTAACAGGACCAGGACCTTAATTACTAATTATAATTGTCTTGTTTCACTTGTTTAGGTCAGAATAATTTACAGGATCTAGAAGAAAGAAATGCATTCTTCAAATATGGAAGAGGATACCAAACCTCTCCTGATCCCTGTTGGAGGTGATGAAAGTGATTATGGAATCATGAACATTCAGTTTAATCCAGCAGACCTAAAATGCAAGAGGTGAGGGGCAGTCTAACCTTATACAGTGATCATGATAGTAGGGTGATCAGATGTACTGATTTTATAGGGACAGTCCCGATTTTTGGGTCTTTCTTATATAGGCTTCCATTACCCCCGACCCCCTGTCCAATTTTTCACATTTGCTGTCTGGTCACTCTACATGATAGTGGCTTTTTTGTCTTATCTTTACCTTTAAAATAATTCAATAAAGGTAGAAGCCAAACCTTTTTGGTCTGGTTATTTTAATAAAAACCTCCTGAGTTAAGTTATAAATATTTATTCTTTTCTATTCTAGGAAGAGACGTGTCTATTGAGTTTGCTGAAAACTTGACAATTCAGGGAGGGTAGTGAGAACTTGTTAGAAAAGATAGTTTTGGAAAGCTACCAATAGATCTTAAACTGAATAGATGTAGTGAGTACATATTGATTTCCATGTCTATTAAGTTTTTTAATCTTATTAGACAAGATAAAACCTCAGACTTAAATGGTGAGAGTATGCAAGAGATTGCATGGCTGTGTGCACACAGGTATATAAATAAATGCTGTGTGCATGTCTGTGTGTGTGTATATGAGAATTCATAGACACATGAGTTTAAAAAAAATGCATGAGTGTGCATGTAAGAAGGGAAACCCACTGTGACATGCTGCTTGGAGGGCCTCCAAAAAAATCATTATGCTTCAGAAATAGGCAATCCTGCAGCATTCTTAGGGCAGTGATGGCAGCATGTCAGCTATACTTAGTACGATTATAGGTGGGGCCTGTAACACAGCCCATTATTAAGGCTGCCTGACACTTCCCTTTTTAAGACTTTTCAGTTGTTTACAATTTTGCCAAACAATTCAGGCTGAAATTTTCCATGCTGGGTGTCTGATTGCCTCAGGCTGAATTTTTTTAAAAATAAAAGTGTTGAAACTTTGAATTGATGGAGATGTGGGGGGAAGGGAGACAGGTCTGACAAAGAGTTGGAATGCAGAGGGAGAACTGGGACTGGCTGGGCAAGTCAACTGGGACTACGCTGTGGGAACAATTGTCATGACTGGAGCTTGGGTGGTCAGGCCCAGTGGTCGGAGCAATAGCAGTCAGAGGGCGGGAACCACATCAAAGGATGGAGCCGAAGTCAAGAACCAGGAGTTTGCTCTTGGACTCCTGACCCCAACTCTATCTGAAAGGCAGGTCCATAACTATGACTGGCAGGGGAGTCCACATCATTGCACAGACACTTCCTGGAATGCCTCCTGGGCTTAAATAAAGCACCTGGACCAATCAGGGGCCACAAGGGAAGCCTTCCAAGGTGTTTATCTCCACAGGGTTCAAGGGATGATGAATACTGCCCTATCATGGCTGCCAGGTAGTGGCATGGAGGTGTTGGCAATCCTGCAGACCCCAGCTTCTAGTCCCCATAGAACCTAACAAAGACACTGGAGTTTGGATAAGAAGCCTAGGAAGAGACATTGGGACTAGTTTTCTGTGTGGACAAGAAACATGGGTAGAGAGGGTATGTGATGGGAGATGGAACGTTGGTTGTGGGGCAAGAGACAGATCGGATGGGAGCTAAGAGCAGGGAGAACTGGAACTGGCTGGTCAAGGAGATTGGGACTGGAAATCATAGAATCATAGAAAATCAGGGTTGGAAGGGACCTCAGGAGGTCATCTAGTCCAACCCCCTGCTCAAAGCAGGACCAATTCCCAACTAAATCATCCCAGCCAGGGCTTTGTCAAGCCTGACCTTAAAAACCTCTAAGGAAGGAGATTCCACCACCTCCCTAGGTAATCCATTCCAGTGCTTCACCACCCTCCTAGTGAAAAAGTTTTTCCTAATATCCAACCTAAACCTCCCCCGCTGCAACTTGAGACCATTACTCCTTGTTCTGTCATCTGGTACCACTGAGAACGGTCTAGATCCATCTTCTTGGGAACCCCCTTTCAGGTAGTTGAAAGCAGCTATCAAATCCTCCCTCATTCTTCTCTTCTGCAGACTAAACAATCCCAGTTCCCTCAGCCTCTCCTCATAAGTCATGTGCTCCAGCCCCCTAATCATTTTTGTTGCCCTCTGCTGGACTCTCTCCAATTTTTCCACATCCTCCTTGTAGTGTGGGGCCCAAAACTGGACACAGTACTCCAGATGAGGCCTCACCAGTGTCGAATAGAGGGGAACCATCATGTCCCTCGATCTGCTGGCAATGCCCCTACTTATACAGCCCAAAATGCCACTAGCCTTCTTGGCGACAAGGGCACACTGTTGACTCATATCCAGCTTCTCGTCCACTGTAACCCCTAGATCCTTTTCTGCAGAACTGCTTCCTAGCCATTCAGTCCCTAGTCTGTAACAGTGAATGGGATTCTTCCGTCCTAAGTGCAGGACTCTGCACTTGTCCTTGTTGAACCTCATCAGGTTTCTTTTGGCCCAATCCTCTTAATTTGTCTAGGTCCCTCTGTATCCTATCCCTACCCTTCAGCGTATCTACCACTCCTCCCAGTTTAGTGTCATCTGCAAACTTGCTGAGAGTGCAGTCCACACCATCCTCCAGATCATTAATGAAGATATTGAACAAAACCAGCCCTAGGACCGACCCTTGGGGCACTCCGCTTGAAACCGGCTGCCAACTAGACATGGAGCCATTGATCACTACCTGTTGAGCCCGATGATCTAGCCAGCTTTCTATCCATCTTATATATAGTCCATTCATCCAGCCCATACTTCTTTAACTTGCTGGCAAGAATACTGTGGGAAGACCGTATCAAAAGCTTTGCTAAAGTCACGGAATAACACATCCACTGCTTTCCCCTCATCCAATGAGTGGGGTGGGACTTGGACACTGAGCATGGAGGGGTGAGACTAGTACAGTCAAAGAGACTGGGATGAGAAGCCTGGGGCAGGAACTCTATGGGGGGGATGTGTGTGTGGGGGTGAGGGAAGTATGTTATCATGTAATTAAAAACTATCATAATCCATACACACAAGTGGGGCTGAATTAAGGATGCACAGACAGTGTTAATTCTGGCATTTCCTAACTTGAGTGCTTGACTTTGCAACCTTAGTAATATTCTTTTAGCAAAGTTTGTGTGTAATTTCCTATGTCCTTAAAAATGCAAACTAAAAAAACAAATTGCATTATGTGGCATCATATTCACACTCACATGTTCAGCAGCAGGATTAGAATCTTTAGATCCACCACACAGACCTCTTCCACTTGGGCTAACAGAGTAACTGATAGCAGTAATAGGTTGTCATCTTCTATATGGACCAGCATTAGAGGGGGATGGAACACTGCCAGTTTTACAGATATTTGCTGACAGCAGAGGGATGGTGAGACTCAAGAATCTTAGCTTCTGTTCCAGGCTAGGGAGAGGAGCATGCTCTAGTGGGCTCAGACTCTTCTGCTCATTTCCCTCAACCCTTGGCCCCTTTTGCCTATTCCCCTCCAACCTGTCCTTGTCTCAGTCCTATCACTTCTCTACCCTAGGCTTCTTATTCCAGTCTCAGTCTCCTCACTTAGAAATTCCTGGTCTTTATTCCTCAGGTTTCACACCCCAGTCTCCTTGTCCAGCAAGTCCTCATCTCCCACTCCAGACACCAAGTTCCAGTCCCTCCCTCACACCCAGTCTTCACCTGCTCCCAGGCTCCTTGCCCAGCCATTCCTAGTTCCCTTCCAACCCTCCCCAGCTCCTTTCCCCAGTCTCTTTGCCCAGCCAGTCCCAGTTCCTCCCTCCCAACTCATCATCTAAGCCAGTGGTTTTCACACTGCGGGTCACAACCCAGTACGGTGTCACAGAACGTAAGGCACTAGGTCGTGGCGGCTCTGGTCAGCACCGCCAACCAGGACATTAAAAGTCCTGTCGGTGGTGCTGCCCGGCTAAGGCAGGCTAGTCCCTACCTGTTCTGACACCACGCTCTGCCCCGGAAGCGGCCAGCAGCAGGTCCGGCTCCTAGGCAGGGGGGCCACGGGGCTACACACACAGCCCGAGCACCAGCTCCACACTCCCATTGTTTGGTTTGGGCAGTGCCTGTGGGACAGAGCCGCGCGTAGCTGCTTGTGCACCTCCGCCTAGGAGCCGGACCTGCTGCTGGTCGCTTCTGGGGCTCAGCGCGGTCCGTGGTGCCAGGACAGGCGGGAAGCCTGCCTCTGCACCCTGGCTGCGCCACTGACCGGGAACCGCTGGAGGTAAATCCATGCCCCAATCCCCTGCCCCAGCCCTGAGCCCCCCCAAACTTGGAACCCTTCCTGCACCCCAAGCTCCTCATCCCTGGCCCCAGCCCAGAGCCTGCACCCCAAGCCCAGAGCCCCCCCCACACACACACTCTGAACAGCACCATGCTCCCTCTTGGACATTACTGATTGTTCTATTTGGCTTTGCTACTTTGTCTTTTCACCAAGCACCAGATCTCTAGGATGCAGTATGCACAAAAGGGCTGTAGATGGCAAGGTCTCCTCCAGAAAGCCTCACTTCAGAGAAACAAGATCTGCATAGAAGAGCCCCCCAGCATGGGCTAGGGTGACCAGATGTCCCGATTTTATAGGGAAAACCCCAATATTTGGGGCTTTTTCTTATATAGGCACCTATTACCCCCCATCCCCATTTTTCACACTTTATCTAGTCATCCTACCATGGACACTAGTGCAGGAGCACATCCCTATGGGCTGATTTCCTGCCACTCACTTTTGCTGAGACTCCAGTGACTGAAAGGCTTCAAGCTTACATGCAAGTCAAGGGCATAGAGCCTCCAAAACATGGGTCTCTGCTTACCTTCCCTGAGCAGGGCAGGGCAGGAATGAGATGGAGGATGTCTGCCTGAGGCGGCTTACAAAACAGGGGCATGGGGCTGTGCATGTAGATTAGAGGCAACAGAGTACTCTGGGATGAGGAAAGAGGAAGTGCAGGACAAATTCTTGCCATGTACTTATCACTGAAGAGTGTCTGGGGCCCTTGTGGCCC